CAAAAAAAAAAAAAAAAAAAAAATGTTGATACTTCAGAAGGTGATAGGAAGAAACCTGATTCTTTGAACGAGTTACAGCAGTCCAACCCTGAGGATTTACATCTGCTGCCCCATGGCTTATAAAAGCAATTGCCCTTGATTCTTCTTGTCTTTGAATTTTTTTAGGAGGTGGCAACTCTCTCATAGTCCACACTAAAAAGGCCGATGGAATCAAAGAACCTAACAAGCAAACATGTTTGAACACAATAAATAAAAGCACACTAGTAAATGGAAAATGGCATGAATTCATTTTCTCTGGGATGTCTAAATCCACCATTTAAAGTATAGTTCAGGAAATTACAACTAGAACACATTCATGATCAAAGACTTATAATCCTATATTTTAAATAGAAACTATAAATGATGCTCGTTAGACAGTGCAGCCCTCTTATCGATAATAATAGGAAGGAGCAAAGATGCCCCATATATCTAACATCTTGGACTAATTTACCAATTACAAAGTATCTGAAATTTATGAGAAACATAAGGATTGAGAAAATGTGAGTGAGCTTTTGACATTTGAAGAAATAAAAGGCAAAAATGTTATACTAATCTCCTCATCATTTTAAACAACCAAACTGCTATTAGTGACTAAATGACCACAAATAAATTACATGAGCTACAAAGCCACCAGAGGTGAGTAAACTTCTTTCTGTTGCATAGTTGCTTGTTCAAGCAATAGATCAAATGTAGCCATCATATCAGGTTCATAGAAACAGGGAACTTTACCAATTACAATGTCAATAACATTATTAAGATAATGCACCCTGAATTTCAATTACACGTAAACTCTCTTACAAGTGGCACATGAAAAGGTTTTTAATAACTTATAAAACTTCGGAGGACAATACAAAATCTCAAAGAGGATAGAAAATTTCTGCCAAAATTAACCTAGAAGGCAACGAGGGTCGACTATCTGACACTCAAATAGTTTAGAACCCAGATTTATAAAAGAAATAAAAAAGACTTACCCATGCAGAAGTATAAAGTCAAAAGGACTAGTGCTTTTACTCCATTTGTTCTCTTGAAGCGCCAATTATAGGAAAGCTATCATAAGTGATAGAGAAGTTAGAAACTTAAAAGGAACATACATATATGAAATCATTGACAACCAGTGAGGTTCGTCACTCTTACAAACAAAGAGAGTCTACGACTTACAGGAATATCTGTAAGAAGATCTACCAAAGCACTTGATGTAAAACACACAACACATACAACTGCTAGACCACCAACCTGCATGCAATAGAATTATTCCAGAATCATGAGATTTCTTAGATTTCAGAAAAAAGAATCCCAGATTGTATTCCAGAATAATGCGTCAAATACCTTCTTCATCTCTGAAGAAGCTTCCTCAGAACGTACTTTTTTCAGTCTGTAAAATAACATGAAACCTGAAAATATTTCAGGAGAGGAAATCAGAGCAGGATCAGTGAGGAAGAATATATTTTAACATCAAAATGTCAAGAATATAATCTCAAACAATGTGAAATTCTAAGAAGAAAACCAGAACTATCAGGAGAAAATACTCACCATAGAAGCCTAGGGCTCCTCCTGATAGAAGAACTGTAACAGCAATGAAGTATTCATACACCTGAACATAAGCAAGATGTTGACATAAATAGCAATTGGGACTTAATTAAATTATATAAATGCATAATAACTACAGGATAAGATACTGCAGGAAAGAAATATAAAACTGAAAGTTCAGTATAATATTAACAAATACTAAGAAATCAAAGCACTATTTACAGTTTTCACACAGCACAAGGAATATGGTCGCAGCCTGAAATTAAAAGCATTACATCTGAGCTGATATTTGTTTGTTCCGCCACAAGAAAAGGGCTTTCTGTCCAATTCTTTAAGAGCTGTAGCTCTTGATAAAAGCCCCCCAAATTATAATAAGTACGAACTTCATCCAAGGAAAGAAATGGTGGCATTCTTGAACTTACAAATTCTGGTAAGTCCATGTTTAGTTTTTCCCTTTATTTAGATCATAAGATTAATGCAGTTTATGTCCAATTGTTATGGGGAATCATTAATAAAGAATCACTATGAACCCTAATTTTTCTATTATCAAGTGGAGTATGCTTTGACTACATTATTTACTCCCGTCTTAAAGATTTTTTTTTAGACTAAATTTATTTAACTACCATGTCTTTGTTTCCGGATACTCTGCTGTTCAGTAGTTCTGTATATGTAACACTAACAACTGAATTTTATACAATGTGAACATGACAACCAGATTAGAAAGTGAAAAGCATACCTTGGCAACAGCTGTAGAATCAATAGGATTCTTTCCTTCCCCAATCCAGATCAGAATGGAAACTGCGACCATGAGGAAAAATACCAGCATGACAACCTGAAGGAGAAAGATAGATGATATAAGATTACAAATTAATGTTCACAGATAATAATAGGAAAAAATAAATATCAAACAAGAAAATAGTACATGAACACATAATACTTCAAAAAAATAAATGATAATAATTAATTGTTCCACATTTACCACAATGACAAATTTTTGCCTACTTCCAAGATGAATTGCAGGAAATCCACAACATCTTCGATAGCCATCTACACTTGATGAACCAGGTTTGTTTTTCGAATTTTCCAACAAGGCCTGTCGAGTGTTATTTTCTTCATCTTCATCCTCGTCGTCGTCGTCGTTTGCTTGATGGCCAAGGTCAACCCTATCATATCATATTCAATAAAGCATACACAATCCATAAAAATTACACATCATTATGAATGAAATAAAATTTTACAAGAAAATGCACTCTATTGCAACTGCATTAATATCCAACTTTGGCAATTAGCATAATATTTTAAAATCTACAAGCACCACTAGAAAGGGGCTTAAAATTTAAGCCTCAACATGGAGCATAACCAATGTAATATAAGAAAGGGATACGTATATATACAAATTCAAGAATAAAAGCTTCTACACTAGAAACTGATGGAAACTTACCAGAAAGAAAGAAGTAGGAGAAAGGCTGCAAGAAACAGTATTTTAGGGAAGGCTGCAAGAACAATTCCACTCAAATTATTAGTATATCCAACATATATGAAGCACATAAAACCAAAACAACTGTTAATGGCATACCCATGAGGACAAATCCAAACACATGAGACCAGCAGTGGCAGTGGTCAAAAATAGCAACAAGTGCAAATATGAAATAGAACATATAGCCTGCAAATTAAGGATCAAGTTCCATAAATTAAAATGATGATGTTCAGAAGTTAATGTGAGGCCCTGATAATCAGAGCATCCAGAAAAGGAAACAAAATAAACTAGGAACAATGTGGTACAAATTTAAAGACTTGTTGCCAGTCTGCTAATTACAGATATGCATTCATACAAGTGCACAAAAAGAGTTAGACTCCTGTCTTTTTAGAGTAAATAGCCTATAAAGCTACTAAAGCAGTTTAAATCAATACCTGAAACAGTTCAACTACAATAGAGACTTTGGATTCACCAAGCTCACATAGGCCAAAATTCTTATCATTTTCAATACAATGCTCTAAAATCAATTTCAAAATGGACCAGATTGATTCAAAAGCAATATCAAACATAAATTTGATCCCATGAACTGGGATACATGGGTAGCATTTTTATTAAAAAGGATAACTGGTCATCTTATCTAGTGTGTAATTACCCAAGTTAGATGAGCATATCATCAGATGGAGTACCTGCAAGTTGAATTCCAAAGAAAGATTACTATCACATAGTGGGAATATTATCAACAAATTAAAACAAAGTCGGCAAATGTTGCACACTTGTAAAGGAAATGTAATCTGCTATCAGATATATAGAAAAGAGAGAGTAAAACCACCCTGAAGGAAGATTATATGGGTTTCACATGCACTTTTATGATACCATATACATTAAACTAGACAAGTAATAATGGAAAAGAATACTTTGGTCTCAGAAACTGAGATGAAATTTAAATTCACAACCTTATAAAAAAAAATGAGATTATTTTCTTTGTACAAGGATAAACAGCTCCATACAAATAAAGACAAACAAAAAAAATACTGATGCAGTAGAATCGGAGCATAAACATACAATGCATTAGAATAGGTTTACACAGAAAAACTCCGACCAATGTCATCAACCGTCACATTAGAGCTGTTTAGCAGACGAGGCTAGACTTGAGCATTATGACTCAATGTAATTAGAGCTGCTTTATGGAAATTTAGTTAAAAATGGAATAGGAAGAGTGTTTACAAGTTTGTATGGGAACTTATTTGAGATCAGAGAGATTCTAGATATGGCTTCCTCTTGGAGTGCCCTTTCAAAGGAATTTTCTTGTTTGATGAGAATATGGAGTGCTTGAAGCCTACATTGCAGTTAAACTTAGAAGGAACTTTCACATCTCATGCACTAAGTGCGTAGAACTGAAGGAGCTACGGCGTATTTATACTTCAAAAGATATTGGTTCATTGAAACTTTTGATAGTTTCAAAAAGATATATAACATTAAATCCTTCTAATATAACATTCAAGGAGAACTAAACGCGCACAAAAGGCTATGACTCACTTTTTGACGTGTCCATCCGTCCTGTTGACTCCGCATGTGAATTCTGATGAGCTGGAATAAAAACCAGACTAGTCAACGGATAACAAAAGGCACTAAATGAACACACAGCCATCACAAAAACTGTAGCACACAAGTTAATATGCAGAGGTATGCTGAAGTGTCCAACTCGGTATGCAGTGATGCCTCTCATAGTGACAATTCCCAGTCCTCTCAATCGTAAGATTGCATGCACAATATATCACAAGCATAAGCATCACATACTTAAAAACGAAAATAAAGTAACCGAGTCTAGGAACCTCTACGTGCACGAAAAGAAAATCCTAAGTCGTAGGATGTAAATTAAATCTACGGGGAAACCAACTTTAAAGTGCAAATTGAAAAGGTTTCCAATATTACTAACAGTCTCTCGAACTCCTACGTAAAAGAAATGAACAAAAACTCGTATATCCGTTCGGCAATGTCCCTCACAATCTATTTTACAACAGACGAAGAGTCTCCTTCGTTCCAAAAAGATTCCAGACCCAAACGAATGCTCTTAGTCCGCCTTCAAAAAGTGCGTCAATGCGTTTCTAAGCACCAGTAGAATCAATTAAACCAAATGCCCAACCTAGTTAAAGCTTATTTACAAGCAAATGGAGCTCGATTACCAGTATTTCCAAAAAGGAGGAATTAATTTCAAATCATTCACAACCAGAACACAAATACAACCACAAATACATCGCACAGTGATCGACGAAGAAAACGAGGAGAGGAGAACAAATTCCTCAGACGACCAGAAACAATCCTAATATCCTAATATCCTAATATCCAAATAGCAATAGAAATCCCCCAAACGGTTTCCATTTCGAAGAGAGCTGACCTGTGAGAAGGCGACGAAAGCAAGAAGGCCATTGAAGGAAGCCATGGCTACATTGAGAACGAGAAGGTCAACGGGAACGTAAGCGGTGTTGGCGGCAAGTAATTCCAGCACCATCTTGAACGGAAAAAACGAAGTTGCTGTTTCGGATCGTGTGGAAAGAAGAGAAAGCGATTGACGACGATGATGATGGCGGAGGGGCGTGTTGCATCGGCGGGAAACAGAGGGAACAATCTGAGCGTACGGGTAGATAAGAGAAGAAGAGAAGTGAACAAAAAAAAAAAAAAAAAAAAAAGCAGAAGGAAAGAAAGGAT